AACAGAGCCCACCTCTGATTAAATCACTGTATTTCATATTCTTTAAGTAAAATCAAATTTCATTTCTCTTCTGACTTACTTTGTTTTCATTTGAAACCATTTCCAACAAAGATCCCAAAATAATCAGAATTTTGTGCCTTTCTTAACACACGTCAACAGATAAACCAGGAACAAAATCACATGCATATCTCTGGGTTTGGAAATGGATTTCAAGACATTTAATTTTGCTTCTTTCACCAAAATTCCATTCCATTCCTTACATTTCCTATGGTTGTCTATCTCGTCTAATTCAAAGAGTTGTATACATTGTACTTAAAGGCTTCAGATTGCTATATGGAAAGAGTTAACAGGTATTAACAGGACTACTGCCCACTTTAGCTATCATTAAACTTACGCTACACTTTGTAAGACATAAATCTAAGACCTAAAGGAAAGCAGACGTTGAAGAAAAACTATTATTCAATCATGAGTCATCATTCTCGCTCTTTAAAAACTAAGGCAGTCTCAAATCTAAGCTGTCTTCTTTTTTGTATTGAAACATATCCAAAGGAAGAAAGAAATGTTTAGATATGGAGTGTGTTGCTGACATCTGTCTGCGTGACTCTAGGTGGATAATTCTCTAGCAAATGGGGAAGGGATGTATGAAATTCATAGAGATTAACTAGGCATGCTAAAGGAAGTAACCAACAAGGTACTCTTTTTAGAAATAGATTTTATCTTTTCTTTGCTCTTTCACCTGTTCTTTTTTTGATCTGTTTTAGATCAAAAATTTCAATAGAAATAAATATTACTCCCATTCATAAACTAAAAGATTACTTTAAAAAGAATAGTACTTTAAAATAAATTAATCTTTTAATGCAAAATTTTCAACCTTCTAATATTATCTCAAATGAGCAACTCAGAGGTTTCTCAAATCAACTGTCTAAAATCTATGGCAATTTAAACCTAATCTTCACCCATAAGTTTATACATTAAACTTGGCTATAAAATCATTTTTTAATTATTTTTTAAAATTGAGGTGAAATTCAAATAACATAAATCGTTTAAAGTGTACAATTCAGAGGCATTTAGTGCATTCACAATGCAGTGCAACCATCACCTCCCTGTAGTTTAAAACTTTTTCATCACTCCATAAAAATATCATGTACCTGTTAAGTAATCACTCCCCATGCCCCCATCCTTCCAGCTCCTGGCAACCACTAAGCTGTTTTCTGTCTATATGGATTCTAGATATTCAGGAATGGTGAAGTATTACCGTTATGTATTTCATTGCAACTTGTAATTAATAGTACTTCATTTATTTTAAAAATAAAATACCTGGTATCCATAACGATTCAGCCTTATTCAAATAAAGAATTTGAATTTGACCACCACAATTTAATTTGCATTTTTAATACCACTTTCTACTACATACTGCACTACTATCTTTAGGACATTCCTTTTAAGCAATGGTTCTGAAATAACAATGGATGTGACAATAAAGCACATAGGATAAACACTCAAAGAAAAATCTTTATAGACTTTAAAAAACTTTCTGTAAAGTAGAGTTTCTAAGGAGATATTAAAGATGCATACCTATTCTTCAGTTATTTAGTCCCTTTAAATGGGCATATAAAATGGATATGTACATTTACAAGTTTATCACTAAAAATGGAGTAAAAAATATTAAAGTTAGAAAAACAATGCAATTATAAATAAACCACATACCCTAAAATAAAATAGGATTGCCAAAAAGAATCAGTGTATTCCTATAGAAAATAAAATTCTGAGCCACGTCTCACTTGTAAAAGAATTGAAGGCTATATTCTATCCTAACTCTCTATCAAAATAACTAGCCAAAAACTGCAAATTAATTTTAAAATATTGAGAGAATTAATAAAAGTAATCCTCTGAAGAAGGAATCTACTAAATTATGGGAGAACACTAATTTTTAGAAAAATCAAATATGGGAGTACTGACAGTGAAAAGGCTAACAAACAGTCCAAGCATCATAAACATGAACTCACACTTACAATCTCACTGAGTACATTAAAGGCACTTTCATAGTGAAGCCCTGGAATAATCAAAAGCAGCGAAACAATTCAAGCACGGACAGGAAATATACTGTGTAATTTTTAAAAAATCATCAACAGCCTTGAGCATGAAAGTTTAAACACCAATTTGCATTATAATTATATTTTTTATCTGAGAAAGTATCGGTCCATGAATTGACACACATAGGAAGGTCAGTTCACAACTATACAAATTATCTTTGTTCTCAGGCATTAGCATGTCATGATTTTGTTAAGTTATTGGGCCCAGGTAAAATCTCACCAACAGCAAGAATGCCCAAAGATAAAATAGAAGAATATAGAAATTGTAATGTTGCCTTGTGAGTTCTTAGGGGTGTTCCCAAAGTATGATATATGTGGATGCACATTTTCCCAAACTCTGCATCATTACAGCAAACCAAAATTGTCTCCAGTTGGCAGAAATAGTATTAAATATAAAGGGAAATACTATATCCAATGAGTATCTTCCCTATGTTTTCCTGCATGCAAAGAATAAATATAAAATTAAGTTTATGGGGGTAAAATTCATGTTTATCTTTTTCACTTTTGTATTCCTAGCTCTTAGTATTATGAATGAACTTGGGTCAGACCTTAACATATATTTCTTAAACAGATAATTAGAGTTTAACTTGGTAAAAAAACATTTTGGATGAAATTTTGGGTAACAGATTTCATGAACTTTAAATTTTCCTTTCATATTCTAATTTTACTTCTGGAGAGCTATCCCGACAAAAGAATTTTGTCATAACAAAATATGCAAAATTTATATTAAAGGATTTCCATGGCATTGTTCTTTGTAATAATAGAAATTAGAAACAAGCAAGATATCCTATTTTAACAAATTAAGTTAAAATGGAGTATTAAATAGCTATTAAAATAATTTTAAATAGCATTTAAATAGCAAAGAAAAAAGTGCACAATACATTAGTAAATAAATAGGTTTTTAAATAGTATATACAGATTTATTACTATTTTGTTCTAAAAATTATATGTATATGAATGTTTCTATTTTAGTGACAGGATTATAGGTGATTTTTATTTTTAATTTATTTATCTGTACTTTCTAGATTTACCACAACAAACATTATTTGTAAATATTATCTTATTGGAAAATAAGAAAATGATAAAATGGTACATATTTAAAATTAAAATTACATGGAGTTTAAACCAGCATTTTTTATAAACCTTATAAACCTAAATACTATACTTTAATATAATTACATGTGTTTTTAAGTAAAACTTTTATGTTTATATTTCCCCAAATATTTTAACAGTATTGCTTTTTTACCATATTCATTTTGAGTCATGAGGAAAAATTGCAGAATCCAAAATTTGTCTTAAGTGCCTGTACTGCATTCCTTACCCTTCCCTCCTCATCCGTGAAAATGTAACTTTCACTCCTTCCTCCTCCACCAACTAAAGCCAACTACACAATTATTTATATATCGACTCATCCAGGTACCCAGACCATTACTTAAAAAAGAAAAAGATAAAGAAAGAAGGAAGGGAAGAAAGAAAAAGAACTATTTAAATAGAGCTATTAAAAAAAAAAAACCAGTTAACATTTATTACCACTTCCTAAATAGGTGGGCAAAAAAGACATATACATTTGTAACCATAAATGACAACATCTGTACTGTCAATATGTGTAAAAGAATAAGTAGAAAGATGCTAGTTATTGTAGAAAAATGAAAAAGACCATGGTCCTCAAATGAAAAGTTCACTCTGTGTATGAAAGAGAAAGGAAAAATAATAAAGAGAAGAAATTCATTTTAGTAAGACATTTACAATTTCCTAACAGTATCTCAATTTTCTTTCTTGCATTACTTTTTGTAACTGTCATCTTTTTGATTAAAATAGTCCCAGAACAGACATGTCTAATGACTTTTTCAATAAATATTAACATGTTAATTTTGTTTATATATTCTGTACCTCCTTTAAGTTAATGAAAATTCAGTATACTTCCCTTTCTCCCCCCCAAAATAAAGGGAGATATGTAATAAAGATTTTTATTATTGCTCTTAAAATATCAGCCCCAAAACAGTTTGGTTTTTAATTATAATTTTTATCCAAAATTTAGTGTCTGAATTTTGAGAATCTAAATAGTTCTTAATAGCCATAGTTTCAAGTATAATAATTTATTGGTATGTTTCTAAAATGTGACTGGAAAAATTTTAACATTTTTCAGTGGTTTAAAAGTGAAAGAAAGATGAAGAAGTTAACAAACAGTGAGGGCTTATACATGCAAAGATCTTCTAAAATGAAAATAAAATGCATAATTGAACTTTTAACTATTTTATTCAAATTAGACATCTTTTAATATGAAATCAACTGGTGTACTCAGTAGTCAATTATATATTTATCCACGTACTTAGTTTTGACTATTGACAAAAGCATCTCAAGTATGATTACATTTCAGAGCAAAATTCATACTCCACTCAAAATTTAGTTAAAGTTAAAAAGCACAGAAAAATATATAAATATTTATTTTTATTTCAAAAATACCATTTTTGTATAGTACAGAATTTTTATTTCCCTTAAAAGTTTAATAACATATTACAGTTATTTTAGGGTACTGAGCAAAATCATAAGCTTGAATTTTGGAATATTACTAAAGAAAGTTTTAGAGATCTTCACAAATTCTATTCATTAAATTCCAAAAAACCTAATGCTAATAAAGAAAGCATTATGGTAAATAATTAAAATTGAATTTCTTTTCTTTTTTTTTTGTTCAACCCTGCCACCCTCCCCCCAACACACAGCCTAACTGAACTTCAATTAATTAATTCTCCCCCTCGCTCATTTAGTTTACCAAGAATGAGAAAGTAGATGGTTAAAAGCACAATTATATTGTAAGAACTTGGTTTACAAAAAATAAAAAACAAGCAACAAATAATAAAAATATTATTTGATATTGTAAAAACAGAAATTAATTTAGTGATTACATACTGCAAGTTGTCCAGACAAGAACTGTGGAACATCTCTCAGCATGCCAGGACTCATGGGAGAGGTAACAGAAATAGAAGGACGATCCATTTTTTGAGATTCGAATGAACTAGAACCTGAAATGGTAATTATAATAAAGAGTAATAACAATGGCACTTATCTAATAATTTTCACCACATAGCTCTTAAATTTTTTATATCCACAGGATGTCATTATATACATTGTTTTCTTAGCCACAATGTCCCAACCGTACTTAGAGGACTTTACTGAAGCATAAGTGGAGCTTAGGGATTTTCTTAGGACCAAGGGTGAACCATTTTCTGTGCCGATAAGAGTAGAGATAGACATCTACCTCAGGACTTATATTACTTTGTTAATGTGTAATAAACTCTTATTTAGAATAATGTTAAGAACATTAAAAAAATTAGGTATAAAAAAACAAAACCTAAATCAACAATTTGAAGATGCTCTAAACATGCAATACTAAAAACAGTACTGTAATGTTCATTATGAAAATGTTTTCAGGAAGTGATTGTTTAACCATATGTGGAAGACTATATAATTAGGAGGGTTGAAAGGAAGTAAAGAGCTATTAAGAATATCAGAAAAAGCAGAACCGCAGTACTCAGAAGTGATAATGTATGAATATATTTACATGGGGGGAAAGGAAAAATTGGGGAAGTGAACAAAAATGGAAGTAATGGGATCCTGGGGGCATTCAGTGCCTGGAATTCTGAGTTATACATTTTGGCACTAATAAAATATCCATGTTAAACTCTTATGGATGAGGTAATAAAAATTGCATTTGAGGAAGGTGACTTTACCACTTATTTAAAGTTTAGGTTAAATTGAGAGATGGAAAATAGGAACAAGTCGAATTCAATAAATAATAATAGGAAAGGTTACAAAAATAAAACATAATTCAGACAATATCATAAAATAAGGAAATGAGGACTCAGAAACTAATTAGATATGTGATATAAAGGAAAGAGAGGGGATAATATTAAGATCTAAAGTCTTGTAACTAGATATGGAGTCAAGACAGTCCCTTATGTGTCTGTCTTGTTCTCTGCCCAGGCCCATGGTGGTATTCCCTGGGATAGAGAACACTAGAGAACGGAATTAGTGGAAACATTACTTTGGAACACAGAGACCCTGTGATACCTCTGAGACATCCAAGGAGAAATATAAAACCGGTAACTGAATATATGGGAGGAAGCGAATGTAGAGTAGACATTAGTGTTAAGAATTAAGCTGTGAAGTGTCTCCCTAACTGGAGGCACATGTGGATAAAATTAACCTCTACAGAGAGTGTAATGTAAAGGGGAAACTGCAAGCCTTGGGATCAGAAGTAACAGTGATATCTTTTACAATATTGAGAAGTGAAGAGTTCTGGCTTTATCGTAAAAAACAAAATAAGCTCAGATTTTCACAAGGAACAAGAAGACACTTAAAAGTGTACTCTTTAAACATACAGGGATGAAAAGAAAATAATAGATAATTTTTATATGTAAACCTAGGAGGTATATGACAATAAAATCATGTGAAGAGAAGAATTAATTGAGGAACTAAAGACAGGGGGTTAAGAATTGCACCTTGGAGAAACCTATTTATTCTTCAGGTTTTATAGAATAAAGGATTAAATCTAACTTGAGAAAGGACCCATCTCAGGAACAATTTTGGAATTGTTCTACACTGCTCACACAATATCTGAGTGGTGTAACATAAGTAAATAAAATGTATATGTACTCCCCAGGATTGTTTTAGGAACTCAATAAAATTGAGCAATGATAATGATAATATTATATATAATTATTATCATTATATTAATATTTATTTGTTATATTTTCATGTGATCATATTATTTTGGATAAAATGATTTACTACTTAGCCAAAGGTACTAAATCAAGTAAATCATATGATCATATTTTAAAGTATAGAGCTATGGCATTTCAAAGGGATTTCACCTATCTGGTAAATTTGTTAAAAATTTTATACTTGTAATTGTAATGTAAAATTAAAAATAGATCTATTTTGATAGGATATTCTCAATTACTGTGCATACAGAGATTCTGACCACTTCTAACCACCTCAATGCTACCAACATGGTCTAAGTCATCGACATTTTGCAACTAAAATACTAAAATTGTCCTCTCACTAGTCCTTCTGCTTTCACCTTAAACTCCATTTAACATATTTTCTATATAGTAGCCAGATTTTAAAACATAAGTCCCTCATCAAAAGCATCCTATGCAGTTCTCGATTTCTCTCAGAGTAAAAGCCTTTTCAGTGGCTTATAAAGTCTGCCATTTGACTGCCCACTATTCTTCTACCCTCCCTCCTACCATTCCCCCCTTTGCTCACTCAATTGCAGCCAAATCGCCCTTCTTCCTTTTCTTTAAACGCATCTTGGGCTTTTTCGCCTCCCAAACATTGCATGTCTGGTCCCTGTACCTGGAAAGCTTTGCCCTGAGACAGCCAGTCTTTCAAACCTTTGCCCAGATCTTTCCTTCTCAATGTGGTCTACCCTGAACAACGATTTCAAATTGCAACCCTTCTCTCTTCTTTCACAGTATCCCTTATTCAGCTCTCAATCAATAAAGAAAGTTAGTTCATTGGAAAAAAATCATTAGTTTAACATCTAAAACAGCACTCAAATACAATAAAAATATGTGTTTAGCATTACTTAAAATAAACTTATACAATATGTCTATGGTCCCACTACAACTCTGATGTTAAATCAGAAATATTATCTTATTTTCTAAAAATATGAGAGAGAGAGAGAGAGAGAGAGAGTGTATTTCACTAGATTGTCCCAAGAATTGCCCACTTACTGAGGGTTAGGTTACACAGTAGTAAATTTTAAAATTAGGGGAAATTTTGGAGGGAGGCGGGGGAAATTTAGAGAGTAACACTATGTCATAATTTTTTATTGTGATGGTTTCACACATGTCAAAATGTATCTAATTGTACATTTTCATTATGTACAGTTTATTGTAATATAACCTAATAAAACTATCTAAAAATGCATTGTAATTAAGATTGCAGTTTTTAAAAAAAGTATCTTAAAGTATTACAGACTTTTGTACTTTTTCTTATTTTTTTACTATTATAATGTAATAATAAATTTTTCATTTTATATGATTATATATTTGATAACAAGATCATTATATTTCCTACTTTGTACTAATAGATGATATACTTCATTTTACCCCAATGAATGACATTATTAATAACATTTTTCTTCATAATAAATGAAACTTACTAGACTCCAGTTGTGCATGTGTGCTATCAGGTATTCTAGGTATATCTCTGAAAAGACAGAAAAAGAAAACAAATTGTCGAAACAACGCAACTGCTGTTTTGATCATTATCAACTGATACTATAACAGGACACTATAAAATCAACAAAATTGTGTATGATAGCAGCATTATATAAATAAGAAAAAAACAAACTGTAGGCCTCTATTACTAATGTAAGTATTCTTGGTTAACACCAAATACTTTTAAAAATTACATTTATACACATTTATAGCAGATATGTAAAAACATATACTTTATATTCTATATGCCTCACTACATAACTGTCTATTCTAAAAAATTTCTGCATTCAACAAGTTTTATAGATAGATTGTAATTTTATTCCACTCTTTATTTTCACTTGCTATTGTTCTAAATCAATAACGTTAAAATGCAAATAATATCACCAAAACAAAAATTAAAATATTCAAATATGATTGACATTTTTAAATGTGATAACTCCACTGAGAAAAGTGCAAACGTATTTCTTATTGGGACTTATAGAATTCCTTTGTAAATGTATTTACACCAAAAACATGCACATTGTTTGAGATTTGCCAAAATGGGTAGATATTAATGGTTAAGATCATTCAGAAAATTATATAAAAGAATACTTAAGACATTATACAAAAATGTTTAGTGTCTTTTAATATGAAGAAATATACTTAATATACTAAATTGATACAGTACAGTTTTACCATAATACAAAACTTTGAAAAGACAAAATAAAGAACAGATACTATTTCATGTGGCAGATTCATTACTTTGGAAAGAAACATTTCAAAGACCAAGTTACCAGCATGTCATTTTCTACATCATAAAAAGAGAACAAAATAATATAGCCCAACCTTTTCCTAAATGAGTGAAAACTGGGCATTATATTTTACAACTAAAAATAATTTCTATAGCCTCCACCCTAGAATGCTCTTCCTACAAACTTACATTTAATAAATCACCCTAGAATGCTCTTCCTACAAACTTACATTTAATAAATCACCATCAGTGTACTGTGTTTAATTGCTTTTTCTAATTATATCTTTTACATTGGCTTAGAGCATAGTCTTCTATAAAGGAAATGCTACTATATAATGAGTAATTCTCATAATACAGATGCAAATAACTATACTGCCAACTCTTGGAAATTGTCGATTTAATCTATAACTAAAAAATGATAAAAACAAGAGAGTATTTGGCATTTGCTTATCTTTTTAATGTTTTTTAAGATATTCTATTTTTCCTTATATTGTTCCCTCTACCTGGGAATAATATGTCCTTGGGCCCTCTCTGTCCTATGTTGAAATCTCCACTTGGAAAAAAAGCATAAAATCCATAGAATATAGCTGATCTTCATTTTTATAATATAAAGGACCACAGTTAATGAAACTTCCTTTAACAGCAATTGCTACTATGATCCCCTTCTACTCGTGGCATTAGCCATCCACTAAGCTATTAAGAACACAAAAATAATAAATAGCTAAATATTTCTTTTTTGTAATTAACTGTATAATCAGATAAAGAGATGCCATAGTTTTTGGTAAGGTGTTTTTAGTAAAAGAAAAAAGCTCACAAAATAATTTGTTTTTAGGAAGCAATGGGACTTTTTGGATTGCACATCAAAAATTGTTTTATAGTAGGCAACTCCATCATACACATGAAAAGTACTCAAACCAACTTACCCAATAGGCCTTGAAACAACAAGCTCCACTTGTGGTTCAGGTTTGGATTCCAGAATGATGTTATATACCTCTTCAAATGTGGCTCCTTGCAATAGCCTTCCATTCCATTCTAACACTTCATCACCTATTATGTGTGTCAGTAATAATAATCTTAGAAAGAAAATCTAATGCCATAAAATGCACTAGAAACAAAGCAATCTTAAACTGCAATGAACTCCACAGAATAAAATAACCATTATGAAATAAGAAACATACTGAGGACAGCTCCAGTGGCATAAAATTTGATGACAAAGATGATTAGTATATTTCACCCAAAAAGTAAGGGTCAGGAAAAAAATTACATAAAAAGTATCTGTGATTTCCAGGATTTTCTCAGTTGTGTCTTGTCCATGAATAACTGCTAGTTCTTCTTGTGAAGGGGAGCAAAGTCAGGAGCAACCTCTGTCAACATCTTGGTGACATAGATACTCTAATTCTAATAAAAGTTCTAATTCTAAAAACTATCAAAATCAGTTGCCACTTTGTAGATTTCATGATTCTGCATTCTACTTTTTTTCAAAATACATTTGTCTGAGCACTTTGTCTAATCTGTCTTGTAAAAAGCTTCATATTTAGTACTTTATTGAATCTTCTCCAAGGCACCCAACGATCTCTCCTATCTATTACCAATGAGGTAAGGAGTGATACATTTCAGGAAATACGTATTTATCCATGAACTATGTTTCCTAAACTATGTTGGAATTTTTCAAAAGAAGAACAAAGGTTTATAGGGAAAAAAAATGGGTTAATACTAGATACAGAGTAGGAATAGCCGTAAGCAAAAAAAAAAAAATCAGTAACTAAAAATATTTTTCTCTAATGTGACTCAATAAATAATAGCACAACTTTCCATTAATGAATACATTTAATTTAAGTGAAATGAGCTCTTTATTACTGGTCAAAGTACTTCTAAATGAGGATAACTGTTTCACAAGTACTTGAATTTAACGGCTTAAAAATAAATAATCAAAGATAGAAACCATACCTGGTCTAAGATGTCCTACAGTATCAGCTAAACTTCCTTTTTTTACTTTGGTAATAAATGCACAGAGCCGACCTGATTCAGTCATCTTACCTCCTACAACCTGTTTAAAAGAGGAAAGTTTTAAGAGACATATTGTTCCAATGAACATGGTTGAAAATTCAAGTAAAAAATAACTAGACTACTTACAGCGTTTAAAACTATAATTTACTATACTAAAAATATTTTTTAAGTAATGTAGTGCTATTAGGAACTAAGCATATGTCCCTATAGTAAGCGTTTTACATGTTCCAAATGTTTTACAAATCCATTATTTTTTTTAAAATGTTGCATACCTTAGAAATAATAATTTGTAATTTCTTTATTACAAAATTCTTAACTTCTATCATTTCTTAAAACATGTTATTTCAGTACTATGTAATTTACACATCTAGTTATGCATTTCAAATATCACAATAATATAAATACTTGTTATTCTTACTATTATAGTATGCTACCAAATTTCATTAGTAATCTGGGCACATTGATAATGTGCATGATGATGATATATTTTTTCCTGAGAAAATTACAAAATTTACTTAATTTCATCAGAATTAATGCGAACTTCTGAACTTTTTTATCCCAGTTTTTTTAATTTTATGTTTCTATAAATGTACTGGTTGAGGCAAAAGCAGGTTTACAGTTGTTCACATAGGAAATAATACAATAATTAGTAATACAAGAATAAACTCTTGTTTATTCTTTTGTCCTCCCCTGTACATCCCTCAGAAAAACAAAAACAAATTATTACGAATAATGCTGTGGAACCATAGATGAACCTGCAAGAGTGGCCTCTTACAAAATTAATGCTTGATTGTCATCAACTGCCATTCAATCAATATATCAGCTTTATAGCAAGCTAAGCAAACAATAGTAACTAACTTCACTGACTAAAATAGTTGTTTTTTTCTCTTATAAATTGAGTGAAAGATATCTGAATTAAAAAAAAAAATTGACTTATCTTATTCCATGTATTTATTTCCAAACTGCAGTGAATTAAACTCAGCTGTAATTCAGTTAATACTAATTATTCCAAAATTTATTCTGAAAATTAAGTGTATAGATATTTTGTACTTACATTTCTATGGTAATTTTTTAAAAACATTTTTATTGTTTGACATAAAATTTAATAATAAGAATATTTCTGACTATAATTATTACTGAAATCATATAATGTGTCAGGCACTGTATTAAATGTTTATATATTGCTTTATTTAATCTTTTTATAACAATTCAGTAAGCATTATTATCTCCATTGTACAGGTGAGGAGTCTGGGGCTAAGAGAAGTTTAGTTGACCAATGTCTTGTACCTAATTGCTGTAACTAGAAATCAAGCCAAGACTTCCTAACCTCCATACTATACCGTTCTCATATTATATTGGGCAGATCTGGGTTTAAATACTACCTTCATTACCATTTTGTGGCCATGGGCAAATTATGACAATTCTCTAAGCTTATTTTTTATCTCTAAACAAAATGATAGATGTAAAATGCTTACATGAGTGTCAGCCACATGTCAGTCACCCAATAAATATTAGTTGCCCAATTCCACTTACACACAAAATTTTCTAATATTTCTCAAAGGAAAACTTCTGTAGCAATGGCTTAACTCTAAAACATTTACTTCTCTCTCATTTCAGTTTTTAATTCACCATACAAATAAACAAACAAATACAAAACACCAAGCAAACAGAACTCTGCTTGGTGTAATTACCAAGTAACTTTTTGGTATTTTATAGTAAAGTATAAATTAATATTTATATTAAATCTCTTACCCTAAGTATTTTTCAGTGTCTAGACTTCAAACAGTATTCTCTCTTATACATACATATACATAATTAGACACATATTTTTCTGTACTAATATAAAAATTATATTCCTATATGATATAAACATTATATTTGTCAACTCTACATATTTAGTAACTGAATAAAACTGTATAGGTAAAATAAGTTTGAGCACTGTACTTAGGATTACAGTAATGACTCATTTAATTGCCAAAATTATATATACAAGATTTATCATAGAACAATGACAACTTCTTAAATAAAACTTGGAAAATCAGAATTGGATAATGAGGGCAAATACTTGGGAATTCTTGAAAATGGAAAGAAAATTCACTAAATTAGTATAGGTAGAAAGTTATTATACAAAAGCTTACATATTTCATCACATACCTTCAAGCCAAGCATTGCTCCTGAATCTCGAGGTACACTTCCATCTTTTAGACGTTTATTTAATAAAATTCGACCAATTAAACAATCCCCATCTTTAGAAGGCTGCCATGTCACAGGGTGCTGACATAGTACATCAAAAAACAAAAAAATTAATGTTCTGTTAAGACAAGTGATCCCTTATTGTGCAATCTCTCTAAATATCAGACTTCCAAAGTATTATGATTACACAAATCAGTTGGCATTTAAAAGTTTAATCAAGAGGCTTATGACATTATGTCTACAACCTCAATTTTATAATCTCAAGTTTTTCAAAATCAAATTACTTCAAGTTCTTACAGTGCTCTTACACAATATTGAAGGAATACAGTTCTAAAAAAATCTGAGAAACCTTGAACAGATATTCAAACTCTAATTATATACATGCTGAAGATTAATAAATTCACAGGTAGAAAAGATAGTCACTTAAAAATGAAAATACAGTCTTCAAACATGTTGGGAAGACTTTAAGAGACCTTATTACAATAAAAGTTAAAAGGTCAAATTAAATAAAACACAAAATTCAAACCTATGATGAAGGCTTTCTTGACATAGATTTCTAGATTAAAATTACAAATAATACACAAGCCCCAGGAAGCTTCTAAGTGATTCCGGGAGAAATAGGTCTAATTCAAAGGTGAGGATAGATTACATTTCTCACTTTTTGGAGGTTCATTGATTCTTTCAGGTCTTTGATCTATTTAGTAAATTAATTTTATTAGATAATCCAATGGTATCTATTGTTAATTAACCTTGAAAATATTAGGAATTTATCGCTTTCTCAGGGCAGAACCAAGCCCTTTATAAATCACAACACCATCGCATTATGAATTACATGTCAATAATAAAGTAAGTGATTTGTGTAATCACAGTTTCACAGTTATTTTAAAGTAACATGCATATCTTCATGCAAAATTTAGCAGGCAAAAGACAAGTTTCAATCATCACATCTATATGGTAATAAGAGTTCAAAAGTCTCACCACACTAATAGCAAAAATAATAAATACAAAAGCAGATGGCAGTGGTTCTAATACTAATTAATGCTACATTGAAATGCTGTGACAATAAAACAAAAGAGTAAAATGACAGTGAAAGGGAAAAAAGAAAAACAACTTTTTCTGTGCAAACAGACCCAATTATCTCCCTTTTGCCTGGGATTCAAACTATTAATCATTTAATTTTCATCCCAAGGAAAATATATACAAGCAATCAAATAAGCCAATCCAAAATATTCTCTGTATTTGTTGTTTTATAATAACATTAAAAATTATTTCATGCGACCATAGACAAAACATTCCTTTGTTCCTAATTTTTATTTCATTTATTTTTTTTTTTTTGTATGCCGTCAAACAACAAAAACAGCAAAGCAAGCAAAAAATATTTTGATTTGTTTGTTTTGGTTTTGTTTTTCTTTTCTGCACCTTAAGAAATGCTACATTGACCCTTGCAATGCCCTGTCCTTTTATTATGTTCTGTTTGAATGAGTGACAGAGAGCAAACGAAGACCAAATGAGCAGGTTAAAAGGCAGGCTCCACAATCTCAGTACCTTATCACTATGGCTATGCTCCTCGTTAAGGGTTGTGCTACTACAGGTATCTACCCCAGAGTCCTTAATTTGAGGCTCAGACCATTCCAAATCTTCTTCCAAAGAGTGGCCACCAAAGTACATCATTTTCTTTTGTCTCTCAGACCTGGTGTTAGAGTCCGACAAAACTGCCTGCTCACTAGTTTTTCTTTTTCCCTTTTGACTGTCCCCTACAGGTGTGGGATAAAAAAAAAAATACAAAAAAGAAAACATGCAAAGGTGTAAATAAAAACAGAAAAGTGAAATGATAACAAATTAAATAGTAAGGCTCCACATGTCTCACCAAAGACATTGGGGATGCCTCACTGCTATGCCAAGACGTATGGTCCAACCAGTTGTAATCCATGTCTCCTGTGAGAGTCAGACAGACAAAAGAGTGCAGTAAAAGGAGACGGCGAAAGAAAGGACAGACAAAGACATTATAAACATTTTAAACTGTGTGATACTGTCTGGTTTCAAGAACTTTGTCTGTAGCACTCACTATACATACCAAGAGAGCCTGGATATCAAATGAGTAAAATTTATACAATGCAGAATATAAAGCTTATGATCTCTAGAGAGACCCTACAGAACAAAAGTCCTTTAAGAACAGAAAAGGCTAATAATAAACAGAAATTGAAATGAAAAACTTATATATTTTGAAAAAGAAAAAGGCTACCAGTTATGCCTGTTACTCATGGTATATTTTCATGCTGGCCTACAGACATGGGTTCTTTTCCAAAAGTTAAAGAACATTTTAAAGATTAAAAGGTGGTTTTCCAATAACCACTATAACAAAAAGCCAAGTAATTAAATTGTTTCTGGAATGTAGTATAATGTTTTTTAATGCTGAAACTTCCTAAAAATATTCGGGGGCATTGAGGAGGTTAAAAAAAAAGAATCGGCTATACACACAAAAAAAATTTTGTATGAAAGTGACAAAATAGATGCACACTAAAATAGCTATTAGTATAAATAATATAAACTTTACTTACATTATAGATTACTTAGTATTGAAATTTTTCAATTTTCAGAAATTACACTCATACAATGTAGATTTCCTTTTAAAATAATTTTGTCAGATAATTTATATAAATGGCAGCTAAGAATGACTATTTCCCCAAATTATACATTCCTTATTTGCCTCACATCTGAAAAAAAAATTTCTTTTTAGTCTATGTCTACACATACATATCTTTTAAAACTTTATTTGTGCTTTCATTAAATTAAAAATATTTACCAAACTCCTTCCATTTGCTACGCATTGTGCTAAGCACTAGTGCATGGGGTAAAACAATGAGACATACAACAGAGTAGTGAGGGCAACAGATATGGTAAGAATAGAGGGAACTGAGAGGTGTTTGGGAGGTAGAATTAAGTATAAAGAAAGATTGAAGCATCAAAGATAGCTCTCTGGTTTCTGCCATTAACAACTAAATAGAAGGAAAGACCACTTATGAGAGGGAGACAACTGGAAGAAGAACACTGTATTAGAAATAATGGGAAGAAATTACTCTATTTCATAGAATCTAAGATGTAAGTGTAAGGTTCATCGATATTAAAATAAAAACATGCATTTTACAATTTATTAAACATGGTGATTAATTTGGGATATGTTGTTGTTTGAAAAACCCATAAGTTATTGAAGTGGGAATATAAGAAATCAATTGGGGAAGCTATAATAAAGCTTAGAAGGAATGTCTAAGCCGGAGACCTATATTTGGAATTACTAGCATACAAATAGGAGTAGGAAGATCATTTAGAAATAGAGAATAAAGTAAGATATGGAGAGGATCCAGACTGAACTGTAATATATAGAGTTTGATTTAAAAAAGGAGAAAGAGAAGGAGGAAAAGATGGAGGATGAAGATAAGAAAGAGAAGGAGAAGAAGCGAGAGAGAGACAAAGAAAAACTTTAAGAGATAATAAAATGAGGGGGGGGGAATAAAGTCTCAAAACCAAACAGAAGAGTTTCCTAAACAAAACAAGAGGAGAAATCAACAATACTGAATGACTTCTACACATCAGATACAATAAGGAACTGAAAAATGTGCATTTGATTTGGCAACACAAAGATCAAGAAAGGTGTTAGGAAAAGCACTCTACATAGAATGATGAAAGTTAAAATTAAATTGAAGTAACCGAAGAGTAACAGAGAGACAAGAAAGTAGGAAAATGTGTATTGATGAATGGTTCATAAAGTGAAAACCCCAAAATAGCAAAACAGAAAATTCATCTCATTGTGGTCCCAGAAAGAAGAGAAAGTAAAAGTACTTGGCAATGTAATAATGACTGAAAATTTCCCAAATTTTCAAACCATGTAAGCCTATTGATTCAAGAAACTACATAAACCTCCAAACAAGAAATACACACACAAAAAAATCAATGCCGAGACATATCATAATCAAACTAAAACTAAAGACAAACTGTTCAATGTAGCCAGAACCAAACACACCTTACCTAAAGGAGAAAAACATTTCAAATGATAGTGGATTTCTCAGCAGAAACGTCGGAGAGCAAAATGAAGGGGCGTGATATTTTTAAATTACTGATACTAAAAGAAATATCAACCCTGAATCCTAAATATAATGAAGTTATCTTTCAGAAATGAATGAGCAATAGAGACATCTGAGACAAAGAGAAAACTAAGAGAATTTGTCACCAGTGGAACTACCCTAAAAGAATGGCTAAAGGAAGTTCTGGTAACAAAAAGAAGGAATCTGGAAATATATGGAAAGAATAAAAAACAAGGTAAGTAAAAACATGGGTAAATACAATAGGCTTTCCTTATCCTCTAAATATATCTGATGTTTGAAGCAAAAGGTATACATTGTCTGATGTGCTTTTCGACATATATAGAAGAAATATTTTAAACAACTGCATTATAAATAGGAAAAGATAAAATAATTTGATGTTATGTTTTTACATTTCACTCTAACTAGTAAGATGTGGTAAGTTGTGCATATGCAATATATTACCTAGAGTAAACACACACACACACACACACACACACACACACAAACAAAACCTTTGCAAAGAAATACACTCAAAAACACTGCAGATGAATAAAAAAGCAATTCAAAAACAAGTTCAAATAACCCAGAGAAAGGCAAGGAAAAAAATGAGGGAAAAAAATGAAAAAGAAAATATCAAACAACAAGAAAAATGTAGACCAATATCCTTCATAAATATAGACAGAGAAATCCTTAACAAAATATTAGCAAATACAATTCAGCAACAGCATGAAAAAAGAATTATACAGGCTGACATTATGGAGTTTATTGTTGGAATGTAAGACTGGTTGAAAACTGAAAATCAGTGTGACATTTCATACTCCCTAGTTACAGGAGAAAAATCACATGATCCCATTCCTTGATGCAGAAAAACATTCATGATAAAGACAACAAGAAATAGAGAACTTGCTTAAGTAAATAAAGAATATCAACCAAAACCTACAGCTAAGATCATACTTAATGGTAAAAGACTTAATACTTTATATGAAGAGAAATTCCCCCCAAAAAGATACCTGTGTTTTTAATAGCCAAAAAGTGGAAACAACCAAAATGTCCTTCAGTGGGTGAACAGATAAAGAAATTGTGGTATAACCATACCATGGAATACTACTCAGTAATAAAAAAAAAATATTGATACATAAAGCATAGATAAACTTCAGGAGCAATGTGCTGAATTTAAAAAACAATCACAAACTGTTGTATACCATTAGATTTCATTTATATAACATTCTCTACATGATAATATTAGAAATAGAGAATAAATTAGTGGTTAGCAGAAATTAGCAATGGGGGAGAGGGTGTTACTACAAAGGGGTGGCATAACAAAAATCTTTGGGCTTCAAGTCAAGATGGTGGCATAAGTGCAGTACTCGCATCCTCCAGCAACCGCATCAAAATTACAACTACACTACAGAAAAGCCCTCATTCAGAACTGCCTGGATTCCAGCTGAACAGAAGTCCTACAAGTAGGAATTTAAAGAAGCCACATCAAGACTGGTAGGAGGGGTGGAGACGCGAATGGGCTGGCCCCACACCCATGTGAGGCAGATAAAAACTGGAAGGGATATCTAACCTGCAGAGGTTTCCCCTGAGGAACGAGAGGTCCCAGTCACATACCATATCTCCCCACCCAGGGTTTCGGTGCCAAGAGGAGAATACCCCATTACTTCTGGCTGTAGAAACCAGCTAGGCTTGTGGCTGAGTGAGACAGAGGGCTTCTGGAGTCCCAGGCAGTGGCCTTCAAGGATACATGCTCTGACTTGAGATCACTCCCTCTGAGTTCGAGTGATGGGGCAGCAGGTTGAAAGGAACCAGGGACATACAGATAGGAACTGAATTGGCCAGCATCAGGGTGAGAGCTCAGGGGACAGCTGTCTCCCAGGCAGAAGTGATGGCACAGATCATTGTTCCTTTTCTGAGCCTTCCCCCTGACAGAACCTCAGAGCTGGCAGGCAGGCACCACGTCTGAGTCTCCATCAACCTGGTTCATACTGTTCATGCTCCCCCACACAAACTTCAGGCTCACCCAAGCTGACTTGAGAGACTTTTCCATACAAACAGCCTTTTTGCTTCAGACCTTCCTAAAATTTCTCAAACAAGCAATATCTGACCCCTGCATACCCCGTACCTCTTGCTAAGTGGCCCTAAGCCTGGCACTAGTGGCAGTGGCACTGGATCTCAGCTTGGCCTCTCCAAACCGAGAACATGTAGCAGCCATCTCCAGATCACTTTGTAGCTTATGCTGGGTGGCCCAAGTGGAACACAGGCAGCATCTAACCTTGCAACTCTAGGGAGGCCCAAGAGGCAGTGCACTGCGTGGACAGCTTCAGACCATGCCAGGTTACAACCCTATCACCTCCATGAGCAACACATTCAAGGGACAGACTCAGTAAGCACCAGAGCCCCACTGAATCAAATCCTGCTCCATACGGTCATCTGCACAGAAGCTATGTTAATCCAGTCCTCAAAGCCAATTGGCCTGGAGGTTAATACCTCCCAGTGATGCCAACCAACATCAATCAAGACTCAGTTACAACAGGATAGTGCACACATCCACATGCGGGCACACCTGGAACCCAGGTCAGGTGACTGGGAAGGCTGTGTCACAGGGCCCTACAAGACACCTACACTATACAAGGCCACTCTACCAAGTCTGGAAGATGTAGCTCTATTTAATA